GGACAGCCACTGCACTCTAGTCTGGGTGACAGAGTGAGACTCCAACTCAAAAAAAACCAAACCAAAACAAAACAAAAAAACGCAATCTAGTCATTCTAGACCTAGGTCTTAGCGGTGGTTTCATGTGTTAACATGCCAATTGTGGTTAAAAGTTTTTAGGGATGACCTTCCTTTCACCAAGCTCATGAATTCATTATTAACACTAAGTGCCAGTTTCTTCCTTTTTAATGAGAAATATAGTCACCGCCGGGCTCCGTGGCTCAGCCTGTAATCCTGTGCCTTTGGGAGGCTGAGGCGAGTGGATTGCCTGAGCCCGCAGGTTCGAGACCCACCTGGGCAGCAAGACCTCATCTCTACAATAAATAAAAAAAAAATTAGCCGGGCGTGGTAGTGCGCCTCTGTAGTTCCAGCTACTTGGAAGGCTGAGGCAGAAGGATCGCCGGAGCCCAGCAGGTCGAGGCTGCGGTGGCCGGGAGCGGCCACTGCACTCCAGTCCGGGCAACAGAGTGAGACTTCAACTCAAAAAAAAAAGAAAAGAAATATAGTCACCAAGGGTACCTTATCCTAGGGTAAGCCCATTCACACACCACATGGAAAATCAAGGCTTATTTTAACCAGTTTGCTAGTTTACCAGAAATACAACAGCTGAGGGCATAGAAAATTCAAATCTTCAGGCTAATACACTCTCTCCCTGTTAGAGACAGGACACATGGAAACCATATTATAAGCAGACTTATGGTGGGCATGGAGGCAAAAGAAAGCTGTCCATGGCACACGTGAAATATTTAATGGTCATAAGGTAAAACCACTGATGCGTTCACCTCTGTAACAGAGGCATACCTGTCCGCAAGACCTGACAAAGGTCAGGCAACCTCACCCTGGCACCGTTTGCATGGGAAAGGCCAATGTTTGCACTTTGGCTCTTTTATCATGCTGCCACTGATGCAAGGTCTAGCAATGATTGAACAATTTCCACATGATGGGTACTGTCCTAAGCATTTTACATATCTGTAACCCAGGCACATATTGTATCTCTTATGAGCTTCAGATTTATATTTCCAATTGTTTGTACAACATTTGAATCGAACTCATTTGGCTTAGATTTCATAGTTACAAACTTTGATTCGTAAGTCTCCTAAGTACTTCCATAGTAGGAATGGGGTGTTCTAAATATGGTATTGCAGTCACTGGAAGGGCATTAGCTTACTGAGAGTTGGATTACTGTGAGTCTCCAAGAATATGATCAACTCTGGACTTAGATCAATTCTGAATTTATGAAGCTGTCAGCCAGATCAACACTGTTTGTGCTTTCACTGATATTGCAATTCTGTGGAATCTCACCTAGAGAGAGCCAAAGTCAATCAAGTTCCTTCATTCACAGATCTTTCTTTTTTTGAGTTGGAGTCTCGTTCTGCTGCCCAGGCTGAAGGGGAGTGGCACACTCATGGCCACCGCAGCCTCGACCTGCTGGGCTCAGGAGATCCTTCTGCCTCAGCCTTCCAAGTAGCTGGAACCACAGGCATGTGCCACCATACCCTGCTAATTTTTTGATTTATTGTAGAGACGATAGCTCACTAAGTTACCCAGGTGTTTCGAACCTGTGGACTCAGACAATCCTCTCACCTCCACGTTCCAAAGTGCTGGGATTACAGGGGCAAACTACTGTGCCCGGCCACAGATCTTTCAACAGTGATTAATGTGTCAGGCACTGGGAAAACAGTAGTGAACAAAACAAAGTGTCCATCCACAAGAACCTTCCATTCTCTCTCTCTCTTTTTTAAGTTGGAGTCTCACTCTGTGGCCCAGGCTAGTGTGCAGTGGCATGCTCCGGGCCCCCACAGCCTTGACCTGCTGGGCTCCGGTGATCCTTCAGCCTCAGCCTTCCAAGTAGCTGGAACTACTGGTGTGCGCTATCACGCCTGGCTAATTTTTGATTTATTGTAGAGATGAGGTCTCGCCAAGTTGCCCAGGTGGGTCCCAAACCCGCAGGCTCAAGCAATCCACTCGCCTTGGCCTCCCAAAGTGCTAGGATTACAGGCTGCGCCATTGAGCTCAGTCAGATAATTTTTTTTTTTTTTAAATGCTACTTGTAGCTGGGCTCGGTGGCTCAGCCTGTAATCCTGCGCCTTTGGGAGGCTGAGGTGAGTGAATTGCCTGAGCCCGCGGGTTCGAGACCCGCCTGGGCAACTTGGCGAGACCTCATCTCTACAAAAAATCAGCAGGGCGTGGTAGCGCATGCCTGTAATTCCGGCTACTCGGAAGGCTGAGGCGGAAGGATCGCTGGAGCCTAGCAGATCGAGGCTGCGGTGGCTGGGAGCGGCCACTGCACTCCAGTCTGGGCGACAGAGTGAGACTCCAACTCAAAAAAAAAAAAATGCTACTTGTAGGCTGGGCTTGGTGGTTCACACCTATAAGCCCAGTACTCTGGGAGGTTGAGGTAGGAGGATTACTTGAAACCAGCCTGGGCAACACAGCAAGACCTTCTCTCTACAAAAAAATTAAAAAATTAGCCAGGTATGGTGGTGTATGCCTGTAGTCCCATCTACTCGGGAGGCTGAGCCCAGGGAGGTTGGGACTACAGTGAGCCGTGATGGCACTACTGTTTTCTAGCCTGGGCGACAGAGCGAGATTACAACTTAAAAAAAAAAAAAAAGCTACCTGTAGAATGCAATGTCCACACTCTGTATATTTACCTTAGAGGGTGTGGTATAAGAGTTCAAGAGGGTTTCCTCTTCTTCCTCCACTTCAATTCTAAACATATTGGTTAAGAAAAACAACAATAAACATTCATCTAAGGCAAGGGCTGATTAAATAATAGATCTGAATATTAGGTGACTTTTAATATTTGTTTTTAAATTACACATGTAGCCAAATTATCAAACACAACAAATTATCAGATACAAACGTGGCTTGGCGCAAAGAAGTTCAGCAGAAAAGGATACAGTTCTTGAATAGAAACGATGTCTCTTGCCCCTGCATGTCCACTGTCCTTGCAGGCACTGTGTCGGGCTTTGGACAATCTTTTGCTCAGAAACTGAGGAATAAAAGATAGCGAACATATTCTCTATAATCAAGTAACAGAGGAGGCATTTCCCATAGCCTCGAAGTAATAACAGGGATTCAAATTATAATCAAAGATAAAAAATTCCTCAAAGAGTTAAGATACATGCAGACTAAAAACAGACTTATACTGTGACTATCTACAACACATAACAATTCGAATAATACCAAATATTTGGTGAAGATTTGCCTCCTGCTGTGAAGTTTTAAGTGCTTTACATCCACTTTCTAATTTTTATAACAATCATAAAAAATATGGATTATTAGAATCAATGACAGAAGAGGAAACCGAGCTCAGGGACATTAAACAGTCTGTCCAAGCTCACATCGGGACTGGAATCCAGGCCTGATCCCAAAGCCCACGCTCTTCTCAATATATCACAACATTTCCTTTATGCAGAAATGGAGAATCACATTACAGGGCTATTTTGTTTACATTTTGTGCTTACCTCACGCTCAAAAGAGTTCAGGATCTCTGAGGTAAGATGAACCTTATTTGTGCTGGAGCAGAAGGCGAGAAGTTCACCTACCATTCCCTCCTCATTTTGTCCATACAGAACACAAAGCTCTACCACTGTAGGAAGGAAAATTGGAAATGTAAGAACTTAGTTCATTTCTTGCAGCTTTCATTTTTTTTTTTTTTGAGTTGGAGTCTCACTCTGTCATCCAGACTGGAATACAGTGGCTACTCCCGGCCACCGCAGCCTCGGCTTGCTGGGCTCTGGTGATACTTCTGCTTCAGCCTTCCAAGTAGCTGGAACTACAGGTGTGTGCTACCACACCCAGCTAATTTTTAGATTTATTGTAGAGATGAGGTCTCGCCAAGTTGCCCAGGCGGGTCTTGAACCCGCGGGTTCAGGCAATCCACTCACCTCAGCCTCCCAAGGCATGGGATTACAGGCTGAGCCACCGAGCCCGGCAGCAGCTTTCATCTTGAAAAGCAAAAAAAATTTCCTCTCTTTATTCAATCCATATTCATTCAGCAACAGCCAGTGCTAGGCACTGAGAAACAAAACAGAATCTTGTCCTCACATAGCTTACTACTGGGGGAAGACAGTGGAGGACAAGGGCAGAATCAGGGGGACCAATTAAGAGAATCATGGCAGGCAACCTCCTTGGGTCTCCACCACTGTGGGAGTTTTTCTGGCCACTTAATAAATCCTGTTTTCTTATTTAAAAAAAAAAAAAAGACAGCGAGAGAGAGAATCATGGCAAAGTCCAGGTGACAGATGGTGGTGGCTTGGCTCAAGGTGGTGAGAGTGGAGGTGGCGAGAAGTGGTTGGACTCTGGATGGGATACATCCTGAAGGTAAAGCAGGTGTAACTTCAGACCAGGTGAGCTCACCAAGGGAGTGTGTCCTAGAAAGGAGAAAAGACCCAACCTGTGCCTTGGAGTGCCCACGAGCATTTGAGATGAATCTATAAGGTCTGAGTAGCGGTGACAAGCACATCTGAAGAAAAACTTGGAATAATGGCTGAGAAGAGAAAAACAAAGAGAAAAAGATGCACGTGTCAAATGCTGCTGATAATTTGAGATAAGGATTGAGAATTTATCACTGGCTTTAGCAAGGTGAAGGTTACTGGTAACACTGAAGAGAGTAGTTTTCAGTGAACTGGTAGGAATCAAAGAGCTTACTGAAATGGATTTAAGGAATAAACACTTGAAGATGGCAAGTACAGACAATCCTTTTGAGGTATGCTTTAATTGGGAAGAGAAATGGAGTGGAAAGTGGGGTCAACAAAGTATTTTTTTTTTTGAGTTGGAGTCTCACTCTGTTGTCCAGGCTGGAGTGCAATGGCACGCTTATGGCCACCGCAGCCTCAACCTGCTGGACTCAGGCGATCCTTCTGCTGCGGCCTTCCAAGTAGCTGAATTACAGGCGTGTGCCACCAACCCGGCTAATCTTTTGATTTATTGTAGAGATGAGGTCTTGCCAAGTTGCCCAGGCTGTTCTTGAACCCATGGGCTCAGGTAATCCTCTCATCTTGGCCTCCCAAGGTGCTGGGATTACAGGCCACCGAGCCTGGCTGACAGAAGGATGTTAGAGAGGGTGGAAGACAGTCATCTGGAAGGGTTAGAGTGAACAGACCAGGAAATATAGTACAACTGTCAGACAACATTCAGGTCCCGTTGACAACAGTGATTATCTGAAGTCCAGAATTCCAAAGCCATGGCCAAGGTATGTGAGATGGAAGCAAAAACATCTTAGACTGAAGTCTTTACAAACTGGTTCTAGAATGCATTTCTCTCATTTTGATTTCATACTCACCATATAAATTTCTGACAACGATCTGGTTTTTTACTTAAGACTCCTTTTAAGAAGAGAATGCGGGGTGGGCACGGTGGCTCACACCTATAATCCCAGCACTTTGGGAGGCCAAGGTGAAAGGATTGCCTGAGCCTGTGGGTTCAAGACTAACCTGGGCAACTAGGCAAGACCTCATCTCTACATTAAAGCAAAAAATTAGCCGGGCATGGTGGTGTGTGCCTGTAGTGCCAGCTACTTGAAAGGCTCACCTGAGCTCAGCAGGTCAAGGCTGCAGTGGCCGTGAGTGTGCCCCTGCACTCTAGCCTGGATGACAGAGTGCGACTCCAACTCAAAAAAAAAAAAGAGAATGCACTGGGCATAATGACCTGGAGTATTCTGGTCTCTATGAATGAATTTCTCATCATAAATTAACATGTTTGTATTTTTTTTTAAGAGACAGAGTCTTACTCTGTTGCCCAGGCTGGACTGCAGTGGCCCGATCATGGCTTACTACAGACTTGGACTCTTGGGTTCAAGTCATTCTCTCTCCTTAGCCCCAAGTAGCTGAGGAGGTATATGCCACCATGTCCAGCTAATTTTTAAAAAAATTTTTGTAGATACAAGATCTTTTTATGTTGCCTAGGCTGGACTCAAACTCCTGGCTTCAAACAATTCTCCTGCCTCAGCCTCCCAAAGTGCTGGGATTCCAGGTGTGAGCCATCACGCTCAACCTGCATGTTTTAATATATAAGTTCAAAGTTGTTGACAGGTGGGTAAGGCAGGTGCATAATCATCCCAATTCTTTTTTTTTTTTAAGTTAGAGTCTCACGCTATTGCCCAGACTGGAATACAGTGGCACACTCACGGCCACTGCAACCTCGACCTGCTGGGCTTAGGTGATCCTTCCACCTCAGCCTTCCAAGTAGCTGAAACCACAGGTGTGCACTACCATGCCCAGCTTACTTTTTGATTTATTGTAGAGACAAGGTCTCACCAAATTGCCCAGGCTGGTCTTGAACCCCTGAGCTCAGGCAACCCTCTTGATTCGGCCTGCCAAAGCACTAGGATTACAGGCTTGAGCCACCACGCCCAGCCAGTCATCCTAGTTCTAAAAGTGACAACTTCCACATCTCCCTAGTCTTTGCTTCAAATAACTCTTAGAGCTCCACCGATATGATGACCATGTATCAGAGCCCTGCCCTCCAGGACAGGAAACAGGCTCACAGGCAATTAATGCTCCTTGTCTGTTTCTCCATCTGTAAGCAGAGGGAGTGACAACAAGCCCCCTGAAATTCCTTCCAAAGCTAAAATTCAACTGTAGAAACCACTTCAAGGGATTCATGTGTGCAGAGACCACCAAGAGCTATGATGTAAGAACTGATGGATCCGCAGAAGTTTAAGGTGAAGGCTGGAAAGGGAGGAGCCAAGAATGAAAAGCGACATTTCCAAAACCCCATGTCTCTTGCTTTGTTATCAGGCCTTCAACGATTTCCAGACTCAGCTAGGCCACCAGGGCCTAGCCTCAGGCCCCAGTCCCACCTTTCAGAAACTTCACGTTGATTTAAAATAGAGCTTTCCGTTCTTTTCTTTTTGAGTTGGAGTCTCACCCTGTTGCCCAGGTTGGAGGGCAGTGGCATGCTCCCGGCCACCGCAGCCTCGACCTGCTGGACTCCAGCGATCCTCCCGCCTCAGCCTTCCAAGTAGCTGGAACTACAGACACCACACCCACCATGCCCGGCTAGTTTTTTGATTTACTGTAGAGAAGAGGTCTCGCCAAGCTGCCCAGGCGGTCGTGAACCCTTGGGCTGCTCTGGCAATCCTCCCACCTCGGCCTCCCAAAGTGCTGGGATTACAGGCGTGAGCCACCGCGCCCAGCCTGGGCTTCCCGTGCTTATGGTCGATCTGGGATGCCAGCAGTACCCCGTGGGCATTTCCAACTCCCCACATCCCAAGTCTCGAACTCGGCGTCCTCCATCATTTCACGGCCACCGGGGACTCCGAGCCGGGGGGAGGTGAAACTTGGAAGCGGCCCCCTTTCGGCTCTAGACGCCTGGGGACACGGGCGAGCGCGTGGGCCACGCCTGGGGCCCGGGAAGGGGCGAGGAACTCACGTCTCTCAACCACAGCCTCCTCGCAGTCCAGGCCGAAGATCTGCAGCTCCTCCGCCAGCCGCTGGGCGGACGCGGCCATGGTCACCTGGCCGGGGGGGGGGACGGGGAGCCAGCCCACCCGGCTCCGACCTGCGCCCCAAAATCCACGGGCTCGGAGAGCGACGAGCAGACCAAGGTCCCTCCTGCCACCCCGTGCGGACCGAGATGGGAGGTGACCCAATGGTCCAAGCCCTAGAGGTCAGAAGGCCCACTCGTCGATCGCAGAGAAGTACTTTTTAAACAAAAGATCTGGGGGTAGCCCCCAAACGCTCCGAAGCGAGGGAGCAGAAATCTCGAAAGGTCGCTCTTCCGGGGACAACGTCCTGCTCCTTAAAAGCCACGGCTGGGCTTCCCAGGGACCCGAGCCGAGCGGAGCCGAGCAGCCGGGAAAAACCCGCCAAATGGTTTAGGCAGCGCGCGCACGAGCGAGACCCGGCTTCAGCCCCGCCCCTTCCTCTCGTTCCCCACTGCGCACGCGCGTCCGACGGCGCGTGCGCACCGTCGCCGACCCGCCTGCTCGCGCGCATGCGCCTGGCGGTCCGCACGCTCCAGAGTGCATGCGCAGTCGCCGCTCGCATGGCGGGAAAGTCACGGGAGATTGGCGAGGCCCCGGGGTCTCCCGCATGCATACTGAATTTCTGTGCTCGCGAAGGATGCGTGTGCGCTCGCTCGGCGGAGCTCCGTAGCGTGCGCTCGTCTTTCTTTGGGCCCGAGCCTTGGTGCGCAGGCGCTGTCGTGTACGCGCCTTCCATCCACTTTGCCAAGCTGTGCCCAGCGTGGGAGTGGAGGGGCGTATGGTCCCTGCGGTTCCCCCTTCTCTGTTCCCCTTGTCATTGGTGTCGGTGGTGCCCTTGCTTCGTCCTGAAAGGGTCGCTTTGGCGGCGAATCTGGTTGTTATGGTTCTTGGGATTTATCACCGTGGTGCCAGCCAGAGGGATAGGTCTGTTTTCTGATTCTGGGAGCATCGGGGGAGACAGGAGGTGGGAAGGTGACAAGTGATTTAGCTTTGGACATGTTAAGTTTTAGTGTCTTGGGGACTTCCAGGTAGAGGTTCCCAGTGGGTAGGTGACTGGAAACTTGGGATTGAGGGTAGGTCACTAAAGGACAGATGTGAGGAATTAGATGAGAAAGGGGTTCCCCCCCACCTCTGAAGTACTTTTTTTGTTTTTTTTTTGGAGTTGGAGTCTCACTCTTGTCGCCCAGACTGAAGTGCAGTGGCACACTGATGGCCACCACAGCCTCCACCTGCTCAGCTCAAGCGATCCTTCCTCCTCAGCCTTACCAGTAGCTGGAACTACAGACACACACCACCACACCTGGATAATTGTTTAAACAATTTATTTATTCTAGAGATGATGGCTCACCAAGTTGCCCAGGCTGGTCTTGCATCCATGGGCTCAGGCAATCCTCTTGCCTTCACCTCCCAAAGTGCTGGGATTGTGGAAGGGGGCTTAAAAAGACATCTCCAATGTCAAAAATTAGGCTAAGCATGAACTCAGCCTCTGCACAGTTAAGCATGTACTCAGCCTTAACACAGTTCAAAAGTTCTCTTCCTGGAAACTGGCAACAGCACCTGGTGGCTAGGTTAAACTGTTTAACAGCTTTGTTTTTGCTTCTGTGAACCCCACTAGCATTGTTTGAAAAGTACCTACACCTCCAGGATGTTGTGGTTTGGCCCACTTGGAAAGTCCCATTGTGGTTTTGCTCCATTTAAGCAAACCCCTACAGCAAATGGGGGTCCTTGCTGTGGGACTGGCATGTTTAGCAGGCAAGTGGTCACCAGCCCAGCTCTTGGCTAATAAACTTCTCCTTTTTATAACTTGTACTTTTGGTGTCAGTGTCTGTGAATTAAGCGCTTGGTCCCTATTTCAGTACGTAGGAATGCAGGTAAAACATTCTTCCCCTAAAACAGCACATATTCCCCTTGGGGGGTTAATATTACATCTCAGGCAGCTCTGTTCTGAGCCACCACCCGCCCAATCATAAACCTCTTGAGAGATGAGTTAGATGGTCTTAGTGGCACCGTCTAACCACTTGTCTCAACCTGGGGAATGTATGCAAGGAATATGATTAAGATGCCAGGGCCTGCAAAAATCTTATCTTTAGAGGATCTTCTCTAGTAGCTGGTTGGATGACTTTCCATGTCTCTGGGGACACAGTGGTGGCTGCCTTTACTTGTGAATGATGAATCCAGGGGCAGACACTGCTGACTTTGATGACCGTAGGAGTAGTAAGGATTACTACGTGGGGCCCTTTCCACCTTGGGGTGAGGGCCTCAGCTTTGTGCCATTTTATCCAGACCTGGTCACTGGGCTGGAACGGGTGTGGATGTTCTGGAACCAGTTTCTGGAAGGCTGCCTGCACAGTCTCAGTAACAGCTTGCTGAACTCTTTGAAGAGCCTGCAGTGACTGAAGCAAATTATGG